TGTCGTTGGAATAATGTGACTGATTCGCTGGAAGTGGCTTTCATCAGGTCGTCATGTTGCTCACAGATCTTGTGGGTATCAGCAAAAGTAAAATCTTTGTTCTCCAGCAACTTTCGTTGAAGAGTCAGATTATTGATGCCCGCCACCAAGCGGTCACACATTTGTTCTTCCAGGCGATTACCATAGTTGCAACGTGATGCTTGTTTGTTCAGCTGCAGGATAAATTCACGGCAGGAAACATGATCGGCACGAATCATTGAGTTGAATTTGGACATTTCATGTGTTTAGAATTCAGTGGGCAGCAGGTGGTTGAGCAGCAGCAATTTCAGGGACTCGTATGGTAGTTTGGCTGGAGCTTCAGGGAATGCCAGGTTTTTCAACAGGGAGTGCAGGCCACCGCCGCCAGCATTAAGAAATAGGGCTGACTGATTCTGTGTACCATTTTTGCGAATGCTGCACCACAGATCGAACCGATCGACCCATTCCTCGGTCTCGGATGGACTTCCTTCCAGGTTCAGTTGCTCAATCGTTGGGAGCTCCATTACGCGACGCCAGTTTGTAATGATTGTAGTAGTCGTAGTAGTAATACGCACGGAATTCGGAACACCAACCCCGCAATATGAATTACAGGACCCGAATCGATAATCAGCTATCACGGACTGGATCGCAGAAGCAATGAAACACACACACCTTGCTAAAACAACAGCTTTCAGTCTCTTGGGCACGCTCAAGCCAATTCAATAAATTTTACCCCAGTTCCCTATTGACGCCGTTTTCACAAACAACAGGTTACAAACCCCTCCTCTTTACATAAAATTTCTTACTGCCCTACTCATATACAAACCAGCAGTTTTTCTGTCTTGTTAATCAACTCTCGCTCTGTTGTAAATAAAATAAAATTTTTAAAAAGTATAGCGTACACTGGCTCTTATGACATTATTATGGTCACCGAATCGTGGATGCAGGACGACTCTTCCATAGACCTTATGTCTATGGTCGGATACAGACCCTTTAGTAAAAACCGATGTAATCGCCGCGGAGGAGGTTGCTTAGTTTATGTCAAAGCTCCACTTCATGCGACCCCACTGACTGATCCTACTCTCGACAAAGTTCCAGAATCCGTTTGGCTTACCGTCACTTACCGCAACCTAAGGTTATTGCTTGGTTGTATTTATCACCCTCCGTCAAACTCTTACGACTTTTCACACATTTCTGAAGCCTTCAATCATTTTTCAGACCTGTACCCCGGACCTAAGCTAATTGCAGGAGATTTTAATGCCCCCGGAATTTGCTGGTCTACCTTGACAGCACATCATAAACTCCTTCCTTTCCTTTCAAATCTTAATGCCGGTGGTTGGACGCAGCATGTGAAATCCCCCACCAGAGGAAATCATATACTTGACTTAGTTTTTACAAAGTGCTTAACTGTTTCTCAAACATCTGTTCTTAGCCACTTCCCCGGCAGTGACCACAAAATGGTCCATTGTACCTTTATACTTGAGCCATGCCAAACAGTGGCCACCGCTTCAGCCAACGCCCCTCGGGTTATAACCGATTGGTCGTCTCTACCCAACTTGATTCGCGCCCAAGATTGGACAAATTTCTTTCTTTCCACAAACCCTCAATCTGCGGCAGATATATTTTACTATAACCTCTCCAACTGCCTCAACCTGCTAACCCTTCATACTCTACCCACCTGTCGTCCTCCCTCCCAACTGGATAGACTGCGAAAAAAATTCAATAAAATAAACAACCTCTATCAAACTTCCCATGACCTTTCCCTCCTCATGCAGTTGCATTCTCTTTCGCAGACAATACAACAAAAGCATGAATCTTTGCTTAAAAACCAGGAGCTTAAGGCTCTGTCCCACCCAAATCCATCTTGGAAAATTTCCAAACTAAATAAGGTAAGAAATAAAGTTGCTAGTCACTCCATTTCTCATCTAAACCTTCCTGGAAACATTGCCCTCACCTCCCCACAGGAAATCTGTGAAACCCTAAATTCTGTCTTTACCTCCTCGTTTACCACTGATTCTTTTCGCTCTGCCACTAACATGCCATTATCCACTACTGAATCATTGAAAGTCATCCAATTTACCACAAAAGATATCGCTTGCACTCTGAATATAACTAAGCCTTCTTCTCGGCCAGGACCGGATGGACTACCCCCAAGTATATTGCGCTTCGGTGGGTCTGATATGCCCGTCATTCTGCTGAAACTATTTACCCTGTCCCTGATTAGTGGCATTGTTCCATCTCAATGGAAACAATCTACCATTATCCCACTACACAAAAGCGGACCTATTCAGGATCCTACCAACTACCGTCCCATAAACCACCTACCGATTATCTCCAGAATAATGGAAAAGATCATTAAACAACAGCTTTCCGTCTATCTTCTTAATTCAAACTTACTTAGCAAGAGCCAACATGGCTTTCTTAAATTTCGCTCTTGCCAAACGTGCCAATTTGATTTCCTTAATCTTCTCACCAAAACCATGGACATAAGCAAAGCTTTCATTGTAGTTTATCTTGATATGACCAAAGCGTTTGACAGAGTCTCCCACACACTGCTCATTGACAAAGCCCGATCTTACGGAATAGGTGACCCGCTCCTCTCATGGCTTTATTCTTACTTATCTGAACGCTCCCAGGTGGTTTCGATTGATCACTGTTCCTCCAAACCCCAACCTGTTACCAGTGGCGTAATTCAAGGTAGTGTTTTAGGCCCCCTATTATTCCTCATGTATATAAATGATGTTTCAAATTCTATACAGTCTGGCACCCCCTTCCTCTTTGCTGATGATATTAAGGTTGTCTACTCTTTCCCACCAACCAAGTTGATGGAAGCTCTTGATGACATCCGATCAGACCTTCTGGCGCTCGATCGTTGGTGTACAACATGGTCTATGACTTTCTCTGCAAAGAAGTCAAACTTGATAACTTATCGATGTCTAGTGCCTCCTGGTTCCCTGACCATTAATGGCACTCCTATTGATAGTTCATCTTCTGTTCGTGACCTTGGACTAAACTACTCTTGTACGCTTAACTTCTCGGAGCACTGTGCTCTGCAAGTAGCCAAGGCTAAACGAATGATATACCTATTCTTCAGGAGCTTTAGCCTCCGCGATAGTATACTGACCCTATATAAAACTCACTCCAGGCCGTTGTTAGAGTTTTCCTCAATGGCATACTCTAGCATGAGAAAATCTGATAGGTTAGCCATCGAGAATGTCCAGCGAAGATTTACCAAGCAAATCCTTGGCTGGTCTACCGAGTTGGGCTACATGGAAAGATGTCTCCTTTTAAAGCTTGAGCCTTTATGGTTACGTCGCGTAAAACTCAACATTTCTCTGCTGCACAGTTTTGTGCATGGAAAAGCCTATTCCACAGAAGATATACAATTTAAAATTAATCCGCCATACCTCATTCGAAACCACATTAACCTTCTTCCAATAACAAATGACAGAACTACAGCCAGGAGCAACTTATTCCCGTTTGTGGAATAAGCTTCTTGTCGAAATGAGACTAACGACACACAACAAAATATTTAAGGAACGCATTGCAAAATTTCTAACTGTAAACAAAATGATCCAACTACACAATCTCACCCACGAAGTATTGGCATTTCAAAACGGCATTGAATATTGAAACTAGAACACACTTTGTCAAAAATTTTCAGATCAGTACAACCATCTAGCCTCAAACCCTCAAATGTTTTCAAACAATTCCGTGTTCTCCTCTGTGGCGCACGCCAACCAGGTAGCTGTGTACACTTTCTTAACCCATTATTACCAGTACACGGAACCAGCCTCAAAGCTGGATTCGTGCAACACAATCCTNNNACATAATGTGACCCAATTTCCCTAAGCAACATGCGTCTCGAGATGTTTCCACTCAATAACCTCCGTTCTCGTCTGTGGCACAAGCTACACAGGTGGCACATGTTGACAACTCAGCAGTTTTAACTTATGCATTCACTCACTACACTAGGTTTGTCACCCGTAATTCTGAACATCTCAGCTCTATCATGCGTTCGCTATTCTTTCTATCCCACCAACTA